ATAGAATTACCCCAAGCTTAAATAAGGAACATTCTAAACTACAAGTTGTTTTTAGGTTACTCTTTAGCCCAAAAAGATTGGACCGGATCTCAAGTTGTTCATATGTGAGATTGTATCTAAAATCTCCTTTTTGGACTGGCCTATTTAAAGACTTACTCCACGGCTTCGAGCCCAACTTCCCAAGTATAATAAAATGATACGGACTTTGTTGACGGAGATCATAAGACGCCGGAAAAGTTCCGTATTCCGCTAATAGATCGAGATCGGCTCAGAGCAAGAAATTTCCCGAGGAAGGTCGATGGCGATGAACAACGGATTAAGATCGTGCGCCTCCAAGCTCCTTGCGTCCGCCGATTCATTGGCCCTCAACACTGGTCTGTCTTCTCTCTCCCTTATAAGGTTTATCATTCCGTATATCCGTTGAATTACTTCTAAGCGTTTCGGTGTTAGATTCATTTTACAATAGCAATTCACGCTTCTATTTCGTTATATGTATGGTGGCTAGGTAGTGATAACTGGTGTAGCCAGAAATTTAATATTAGAGTATACTACGTATAATTTTTAAAAAATTATCAGGGCCAAAGGTTCATATTTGATTTTTTTTTCTAGATTACAAATATTACAAATATTTTTACATATTTGTAAAAAAGTGGAGGTACTAGTAATATTAAATTCAATTAATCATGTGTTTTCATGCACGCATTCAAAAATCTACAAAGTAGTGTATATGAAGTTTGGCAAAAAATATATAACCAGGCGTTTGCTAGTTACTTGAACTTTCATGTGAGTTTAATACTTGTTTAGCACAGGAGAAAATTTACTTAAATTTCACCTTTGTGACTAGGGATAGTTGGATTCACACTTCTGACTTCTTTAACCCTGTGTGCTTGAAATGTTGTTGTTTCTTGTGATCTTGAAACTAGAGACATCTGTATATTACATTGCCATATTCCAATGATGGCATGTTATTACAAGGAACATTTCTAATGCTCTATGACTATATGACCTTTGTTGTTTTGGAGAATGATCCATGGGAATTCTCTTGCTCCCGATAATATGGTGTGATTTTCAGAAAATTCTGGAATCAAGGAATTCACAGGCTGTAGCAATTCATGAAATTTGGGCAATTACAATATTAAATGCATCCCACACCATGATTTATGAGTGATTCCCTTGATAGGGTGAACTCGTCATTTCAAACATGTTTGGTTTAATGTCATTTCTAACAATTCAAGTACCATGCACCAAATTACTCCGATATATGCTTCTTTTTGGAAAGTTAGCAAATCATTATAAATCTATAATGCAATTGTTTTTATGGTAGAAGTTAACCTAGACTTTTGTGAATGCACCAACAGTAAGGATCCATTTCGGATTGCTTTTTCCATTGCAAAAAATCCATTTTTCTCCTAATGCAATTCCAAACAATTAACGGAGAGTTTTGCATTACGAGGTTTGAAGGTAAATTATTTTTAATTTGATTTTTTATATTTTCACCGCACATTTGAACAACAGTGCCAAACATTTATTTCTTTTAATTAAAAATACTTTCCCAAGGTAATTTTGAAGTACTTAAAGAAGTGCTTTTCCAATAAGTAGCATTCCACAGCAACCTAAACCCCAAAATATGCCAAGTATCCCTTAAAACTCAAATGCACATGTTTACTTTACCCTCACGCGTCTTTACATTCAATAAACCAAATACTCAACTCCCCCTATAGTTCAGTGGTTCTTATGTAATTCAAAGAAAGCATGTGCTGATCCAAGGGGATATACGGCTATGTAGACCTCAATATTGTTAAAAGAGTGAGCTATCAAACCGGCTCAGATTGAGGCCTAATCTGAGAATTTATAATGACACATTGCTCTCACCCTTACATTCGTGTGGACGATTGATCTCTTTTTTATCTTTCCTCTCTCCTTTTTTTATCGTTCATCTTCTTTATCTTTTTATGTTCTTATGTTATTTTATCTTCTAGCTTTTTATGCTCTTTTATCTTTTTATCTTTTAACTTTCTCATATTCTTATGCTATTGTTATCTTATAGTTATTTATATTTATCTTATCCGTTTTATCTTACTTTTTTCTCTTCTTGCATGTCTTCTCTTTTTGGCATCGATATCATGGATCGATTCATGGGGTTAAGGCTTGGATGTTGTTGTTGTTGTTGTATTGCTCTTACCCTTACAAATTTGGTAGCTCTGACACCAAATTTGTAATACCTCTCTCTGAGTGAAGAGAAAAACATTACAATAATTTACTACTTACAAGACGGAAAATGGCTGCCGATAGTAATGAAACTAATCTTAAAAAATATGACTTGACCACGTATACCAGAAAACTTACTTCCATAAAACTATGACAGTTCGCTACAATGATACAACCACATGGATCAAGACTCACTAAACTTTAGATTAAGAGACTGCTGAAAATACAACCAACATATAAACATTTCAAATGACTTGTAAGTTTACTAAATTCGAATTTAGTAAGATCTCACCCTATTTCAGCCTCATACTCTGCATCGTAATTTCTGAACCTCAGATTAGTTAGGCTGGGTGGACATTTTTAAAACAATACCAGACCCTTAGTCCATTTACATCTAAAGGAGGAAGCCAAGCCTTGCCTGGCTAAACCATTTGATTTTTTTTACTCGTGTAACTTTTTTACTACTATGTATTTTTTAACATATTAGTAATTTTTCTAACCAATTTACAAGAACTACAAAATGTGGCTTTGTTGCAGTGAACAGAGGAATCCACTCAACAGGTGTGAAGAAAATGGGTGGACATGCACATGGCCATGACGAGCCATTCTACCTTCATGCAAAACACATGTACAACTTGGATAGGATGAAACATCAAAAGCTGAAGATGAGTCTCAGTGTGCTTGCTGCATTCAGCATTGGTGTTGGTGTTCCCGTTTGGGCCGTCATTTTCCAGCAAAGGAAGACCGCTTCAGCATAGAGGGGACCCGATCATCTCCTATCTTTAAAATAACAAAGTTCCTTTAGGCTTGCCTTGGCTCATGGAGACCATGGTGCTCATAAACCTATTACATTTTGGCATCTGTATGGTACTTGTTTCAGCTTTTGCTCTTCGTTTTTAAATTCATGATTTGGATTATAATAATGAATAGTTATTGTAATCCTGATTGGAATATTGGCTACATCTTTGTTTTACATTTGCTCAACATAAGACCTGTCTATACATAAATACATAATGGTGTCGTATATAAACACTAAAACACCAGGCGGATTGGGGTGTGGTATATCGAATCACTTTGGATGTGGATCCAATTTAAAAAGGATTCTGTATATAAGTTGATTGGTTTATGCAAATTCGGGCGAAGTGATTGAATTTGTGTGGCCAAATGGTTGACCTATCTAACAATGTCTCTGGTATTTAGCAATTCTGGAAGAACCATAATATGAGTGACTCTGAAAGCAAACATGAGTACAAGTGTGGGTGATTGTTGTGGTGCACCCAACATCATGGTTATCCTGGTAACACACTTGCAGACATTTAAACTTGACTAATGAGCTTCCTGCCTGGAAGAGTACCAAGCTCCTTTTGAATTCTAATATGTAAACAATTTATCATTTCAAATTAGAGATTAAAAGGGTTGTAGAAATTCTCAGAATATTTAACTCTATTTTTCTAAACTGTTCCTCATATCTAAACCTCTGGGGATGTCAAATGAATGTATACTGAAATAAAACAATGTGTTACTCTTATCGGGTACAATGGTTTTAGCCTTTATTTTGAGGGAATTTAAAATAATTGGAACATAATTCAAACAGCTTTGGTTCTACTTTGGAGGGACTGAAACCGTTTCAAATCGATTTGAGGTAGTCAGGATACGAAAAAACGGGTGCCTGGTTAGGTGCTTATCCATCCCAAATTAAACTGCTTTGTTTGGGGATCTAGAATTGGAATAGGAACCATCTTTACTCTATTGTGGTCGCCAATCCGTATATAACAAAACCTTTTGATAGATTTTGAAGTTGGGGATACTTCAGATCTTTTTTTCTAGAAGTTGGGGATACTTCAGATCTTTTTTTCTATCAAAGAAAAGAACAAAGTTTAGTTTTGGATTGATCATGAACTTTGTGACCAACTGGATTATGAGAAGCATCACCAATTCAGCATTAATCTTTCTGTGACACTGAATGGGATGTGTAGTAGGCCTTTTCCATATCAAGAGATGCCGCATTTTATTTCGATTTTTTTTCTTGATAATCCAGGTGTCGGGGCTTACGCTCCCATAATCCTGAAGTCTATGAACTACCCTCCAAAGCCCCTAGACAGTTAAATCCGGATCTGATCACAGTCAGCCTCGTCAGTACTGGCTCCAAAGGACGAATCCAGCAGGACTTACATCACCTTTCAGGCTGCTCCTCCCACCACACGAACCCGCTACCTTCATTACCATCCCCTCCCTTCTCAACCGTTGAGCAACTCCGTGAAGGTAGGAAGAATCATTGGGACTTGGGAGCAAGAATGTAAGAGTGATAGTTTGAGATCTAGAATTGAGACATTTTACTTGATACATTTATTAGGTGATAAAGAAGTTCTACATGTAATTATTGGTTAATAAAACTGTATAATATAGGAATGTCCATCTATAATAGTGTTCTAATTTGATGATAAATGGCTCTTAATTTGTAGCTCTTCTTGCACAGTAAGAAAATCTACTAATTCTGGTCAACAATAAATGACACCAAGTTTTTTTTTGTTTACTTGGAAGCTTGCTCCGGATGAACTCAAAACGTTCTGTAACTATTTGTTTAGTTAATGTGTCTACCAGTTAGTAGTTGATCATTCGGTGGAGAACAACTTGGTGTCTTGGCTTCAATAATAGTGTTTTGTCCAAACATGAATAACTAAAAAAAGAGTTCAAATTTCAAAACCTATATTGACATTAAATCAGATTTACACCATATCTCCTCCATACCCTTTGGATTTCATTATTACAAATATAAAAATAAAATATTACTCGTACATATAATATATTGTATTTTCCCTCCCACCCCATTGACTTTTTAGGATTGACTATTTGGCTTACTTTAATATGATGAATGTTCAAAATTAATATCAAGACAGATGAAGAACTAAAGAAATGATACATTTGAATAAAATTGACTGTCAAAGTCTTATAGTTGGTAGAAGTGTAGAACCAAGTCATACATAGATATGTTTTTTCTTTTTTCAAGATGAACTCAAGAGAAATGTCAACAGAAAAGAGAAAAGGAACATCTCTTCCATTATATACATTTGAAATACATGGGGTTAATTGGAGAATAATAAACTCATTATTTCAATTAAGACACATACATGAGTGATCCTTCTTCCATAACTTATATTGAATCTAGTGTCTCTGTAGTTCCTGGTCCAAATGAATATGCATTTGAGATTAGGAGAAAATCCCAATTCTTCAAAGACATTCACTGTGCATTTGGATCAAGAATGACAGAATAAGATGATAGGCAATTAATTAATTTTACATCAAAGAAACCCCAACTAAATAGCAATTCAAACAAAAACTAAGGTTTGGACTTTGAATGAACATAAATTTAAACAAATCCTTGAGGAAATTACTGGGAAGTTGTGGGATTTTCATCTCCACTTTCACTTGCTTGGGATTGGCTTTGTTGATGATGATGTTGATGCTGATGATGATGTTGTTGATGTTGATGATGGTGTTCCAAATTCATACCCAAATCAATCCTGTTCCCACTATACTCATTAATGGAGGCCATCATTCCCATATTGGTCTGAATGGTCTCTGAGATGCCAAGCCCCAGCTGCTGAATCGGCTGTGACTGCTGCAATACCATCGAACCAAGCTGAACCGGATTGAACCGCCCGCCTCCCGGGAACTCGAACCCGCCGATCCTCTGCATCCCCGTTCCCTTGTACTGCCACGGATGGTGTTGTTGCTCTTGCTGGGCCGCCGCCACCGTTGTAGTTCCGGCGGTTCCGCTGCCCACTGGGAGCATCCAGAAGGTGTTCCCCATGTTTCCGGCGGCCGGAGCGACCGCCCACATGGCTGGCGGAGCCGGCATGTAGCTGGAGGTGGGTTGGGATGATACGGGTATGGAGTCCGAACCCGGTTCGTGACCTTGACCGGATGTTCTTTCTACCTTGGCCGACGGCGGCGGCGAGGTTGCCCCGCCGCTGCTGTCTTCTCTCAATCTCTTCTTCATGAAGTTCTCCTCCGGGTCGTGCCCATATCCGGCGTTCGAGAGCTGGTGGTGGAATCCCAGCATGGCCGTGGCAGCGCCGCCGTGAATGAAGAGAGGGCCCGATTTCGACGGCGGAGCTGAGAGTGTGCCCCCGCCGCTTCGTAGAGGCACGTTGAGGGACGAGAAATTGGCCGGGATCGTGCCGGTGCCGGTGGCAGCTATAATCGCCGGTTCAGATTGCTGCAACAGCCACTCAATGGTCTCGCCGTCGGATTTGTGACCCAATTCTCTCGTGAGCTGAAACACCCTGGCGGCGCATAAGGCCGGCATGCGAATCCGCCTGCCACGGCCGTCGACCTTGGTGTGGCGGTCCTTGGAGGGTTTCTTTGCAGCTTTGGTGGAAGCAGAGTTGTTGGGAGTAGAAGAAAGAGTGGGTCTTGAAATGGAGCCCAAGAATGAGTCGGATGGGGCCTTGCCGGACCCAGACACATCCGGGTCGGGTTGAGTTTGGACTGGGACCAACTGGAGTGAAGAGGGCGGTGGGGGTGGCGGCTCTTGGGTCTGCTGTGGGGTTGGACGGCGGTGTTCGGAACTGCCTCCGCCACTCCCACTCCCACTACCAAGCTTGGTTTTGTGTGGCTCAAGAAAATCCATCTTTCTTGGATATGAAAAGAGAAAAAAACCAAAGAAAGGAACAATTTTTGAGGTTTTTGTAAAATTACCAATTCCTGTCCACTTGGGCTGAATGGAAAGAAACAACCCTAAGCTAGAGCTAGAGGGAGAGAGGGAAAAGTCTGGATCTCTATTTTTTTCAAGAGCACAAGTGGAATTGGACTATTGAAGTAGTGGGGTCATTTTTTCTTTTTTCCTTTTCTTTTTCACTTGCTTTTCTTTGTGGTTGACTGCTGTCTTTGCAGACAGAGAGAGAAATCAAGAAGTAGAGAGAGAAATAGAGAGTGTCTACAAGCTCCCAAATAAGAATCAGTGATAGTGGCTTACCAACAAGGGTGGTGGCAGACTGCAGTGGATGAGTTAAACAGTGGGGACTTGGAAAAATGATAGTAGCCCCCATTAATTGGTTTGAGATGCCACGAGGCTGGAGTAACGTTAGAATGGGACATTATAGAAATACTACGTATGCTTTTATATTTTTATTATGTACTCTCGAATTAATTTTCTTGTTTGTTTCTGCACAAGTTTTAAGAAAGTGATTGAAAAAGTAAAAGTTATAGTTGAGATTTGAGTAAAAAAAGGTGAATTGATATGAGTCACCCACTGTTGCCAAAAGAAAAAACAAGACAATTTTTTGGGACGAACCGAAAAGGAAAGCAAAACATTTATTTCAGGACGGAGGGAGTAATACCTAAGCCTACATGTGCAATTGTTTTAATAATTTGTTATATAGTGAGTGGGTAAGCGTGGTCAATCTGGTCATATATTTACTCCTCAAATAGATGCGAGTTGTGGGCAGATTATATCGTGCAACCGGCGCACCACGAGGATGGTGCGCCCGGTTGCAAAACGACGCAGTATTGCGGCTGACTCCTTCCCAACAACGCTCTCCCTCCCCCAGCCACCATCCTCACCGTAGATTCATCGTGCCCTAGCAAGTAGGAAGCGAGCAGCAGTAGTGCAGTGCTCTTCCCTTGTCGAACTACAGAGGCGGAAAACAAATAAGATGAGATGGAATAGATCAGCACCAGCAGACTCGAGCTTATGAAAAAATAGATGAGTTATTTCTTAATGTACGCGAGTTACATATTAATATACGCGAGTTACATCTTAATGTATGTGAGTTACACCACGGAATAAACTCCAGCTATATCATTTTTATTGCCCTAATATTAAAAATAAAACATATTCACTATTTATAAAAAAGTAATTAACATATTAGGATCAATTTTTTATTGTTTATATTGGAATCAATATTTTTTCTTATACTATGTATTTGACAAGTTATATTTCGACCACACTTGAGTTACATTGATCAATAACGTGAGGTACATATCTTTACACGCGAGTTACATCATCCATGCTACTGGAACAAAAAAAAAGCTACAGTACACGCGTGTACTGTTCACGCGATTTTTTTTTAAAATTGTGCAAAACTACGTCGTTTTTGGGAGTGGAGTTTCATGCTCAAGGTGCGCCGGCCGGTTGCACCGTATACGAACTAGAATTGTGGGATCGTTGGCCAAGAAGTCAACCATCACATATTTTACAAAATATAAAATGAGAAATAAAATAAAGAGAAATATACATATATGATTGTAATATTTCTATGTAAACAACCTTTAAAAAAGATGAACTATTGGTGTTCTTTTAAATTTATGTATATAAACATGTAAGCAATTAGGATAAAAAGCCTCTTAAGAGCCCCCAACTATATTTTATACCAAATACTAAATTTTTATTTCATGTGTTGAATTCTGTAATAATCAACATAAATAAAATAATAAAATATTTTATTGAAGAGTATTATTTTAGATCATTTAATAGAACTATTTTCTTATTTCATTAATAAATATATAAATATTAATTTTCCCAAAATATCACAAGTTCACTGATTTATTCAATTCATTCATTTCAGTCTCAATTTCAACCAATTTCAACGTTATCATACGCCCCTCAGTGTTCTAGTGTGACTAGAACATGCAATTAACACCTTATAAAATTTTCTCTCTAATGAGCAGGTGATTTATAATTTTCCTAAAAAGGAAGGAAACTATTAAAGCCTGTATTGTTTGGTGGTTTAGTGCTCTCTTTCTTTCGTTAGTTTCAATTCCGCAAATGATAGTTTATGTAGTTATTTTGATAGTCTATGTTTTCAGTCTTTTGTGAGAGTAGTTCAGTTTAAAGAAGAAATCGTTGCACTATAATTCATATTACTAGTCTTAAGAGGAAAAAATTAGGTTAAAAACCTAAGCTCTTAATAAGTGTCCAAGTACAATAAGGAAACTGACTAATAATTAGTTCTAATTATTTTACTATTAGAATCGATCATTTACTCGACCTCAAAGGCTCAAAGATTAGCTAAACAAATCTTTAAAGTACATTTTTAATGGATCAAAAAAGCAATAATGTGGTGTTATGCAATATGTGTGGATTACAATTAGGAAGTTTTCAGTCTCGGATCAAATCAGAACAAACTTAAATAAATTAGACCAAACCTAAAAAGATCCGACCAAAAAATCTCAATATAATTAAAAACATCATTATAGCTAGGCAAGCATCCATAATTTTCTTTTCTTTCTAATTTTGTGCTACGTGAGTAGAATATTATTATACCCCAAAAATAAAGCAACAATGTGATGTCATAAAGTTTCTATGAATTGTTATTTGGGGATTAGTGTGAAAGGTGTTAAAATGTGGGTATGAAGAATTTAAGATACTGCACATTTTTCTTAATATAAAATCATGCCAAGTCCTTTCTGGTCTTCGTTTTGGACTTTTGGCTTTTGCACCACTTTCTATTTCCACTTTATTGGTTTGATGGCTACTCGTCCAATCCTCTTCACTCATTGAGTGTTCAATTTGTGATTGTGGATAATGACAATTGTGTTGATGCTTATCGATTCCAATAACCACTCTTTTGGTTTTTTTGATCATCCGGACGTCGGGCTTACGCTCTCATAATACTGGAGTCTATGAATTACCCTCCAAAGCTCCTAGATAGTTAAATCCGGATCTGATCACAGTCAGCCTCGTCAGTACTGGTTCCAAAGGACGAATCCAACAGGACTTACATCACCTTTCAGGCTGCTCCTCCCACTACACGAACCCGCTACCTTCATTATTATCCTCTCCCTTCTCAGTCGTTGAGCAACTCCGTGAAGGTAGGAAGAATCATTGGGAGCACGACCTCCCCCATCTTCCCTAGTGGGAATTGAACCCACCACTCTTTTGGTTTAATATATAATAAGTTGCAATAAAAAGGTTTGGATCTCAAACTCAACTTTGGGACCTTATAGGAGTTATAGGCTATACCAAAAAGAATAATGGCTTTGCCGACTCCGGGGTAATAAAATCGATGCAGAATCGGAAATACACAAAAAACATATATTAGACATAATTAATTAATTGAAATTATAAATAAAAAAGAAGCTTGTCCACATTAAAAAACAATTGGGCCTAATTTTCTTTATACATTTTCGTTAGTCTCACTTTTCAATTAACGGAATAAGCAATAGGGTACTTTTAGGAAGACTAAAAGAGAGAAACACTTTCTAAAAGTAATGTACAACTTCTTATGCATAGATTGTATTCACACAAAAAGATGGTACTAACTATGACTCACATATAAAAAGTTTTTAGAAGATTATATGACACTCCAAAAAGATCGCGACTTCCACCCTCAGATGAAGCTGCCAACACCGTCATGTCCTCTAGGTGAGCCGCCATCACATTTCATTAGAGCACCATCTCATGAGATAAAATGGCGCTCTGATGAGATGTGATGGCAGCGCACCTAGAGGAGGACATGACGGTGTTGGCGGCTTCATCGAAGAGCGGAAGCTGTGGTCTTGTTGGAGTGAGTCAGTCTTGCTGAAGGTGGTGTTGGTGCCATAGAAGGAAGTAGCAGCACTAGATTTTGGGATCCTATTTTTAAGATATTTTCTGTTTGTAAAATATGAAATTTACCTAGAATTTCATTAGGCTAATTTGGTTACATTTTTACTCTTACAAAACATGGTTGAAGTCAGTATAACAATCATGAAACCTAAGCGAGAATATGTGAAATGTAGACGTAAAAAGTTGTTTGAAAAATTTATTGGTAATTGCTAATACGTATTATATAGTGACATATATATATGAAAAAACAAATTTAAAAAATAGTATGTTAGATTGAGTGTTTAACTATTTTAACAAATATATACGTAGTAATTTGTATGTATAAAAAACACAAATAATATATTGTTGCTTTTTATTATTATGTATGTGATTACATTTTACATACATAATATACTTAAAAAAAATACATAATACACTTAATTGTAGAAGTGGAGTTTTAAAAATCAATCTTCTTTGTTCTTTTTGCAAAAATTAATTTATCAAAATATTTTCAGTCTCTTTATGCATAAACTTCATCCTTCGTGCTCAAGCTTACACCTTTTGACATCTTTCATGTTCAACTCTCTGTCTCGAAATTATCTTCATTCTTTCCTTTTCGTTCCGTCCCAAATTTATCTTCTTTTTACCTTTTTAGTAAAGAATATGTGGTTCACAACCATTCTTACACATTTTTCTCTCTTCTTTGCACAACTCTCCACCACACAAATCTCACTATCTTAATCCCCGTGTCCAGTCAAAATCGAAGTTAATTATGGGACGGAGGGAGTAGTTTTTACTATGCAAGGTGTTTCTCTCGCCTTTCGCGATCAACTTCTCTAACTGAAGTTGCTAAAGTTGACAATTTTCTTGAATTTATTGTGATATATTTTAATTTCTTTCAAACTTTTAGGAGATTCTATGGATTCGTCTATTCCAAGCATTTTAAAACATTCAACGAATTTATAATTACTAAGAGTCCATTTGGTAATTCCTAATCGACTGTATTGATTGATTCAGTTGCTATTTATGAAGTTTTGGCTGAAGTGACTGAATTGGCTCACTTTGATTTATGAAAAAATTATATTTCGAATATATTTTAATAATGAAATAAAGAAATAATAATATGGGAAACAACTAAACAATATCTTCACCCAATACAGTCAGAAAAATAACTCAACCCTTATTTTTGTTTATTATTACACAATTCAGCGTGTGAATAAAAAATTATGTGTTTGGTGAAAAATTTAGTTGATAAGCCTAAGAACAGAAACACCAAGCTCTAAATAGGACTTTGCAATTAATGCTCAGGAATCACATAAATAAACTATAATAGTGTAGATTAATTAGAATTAATTATTAGTCAGTATCCTAATTGTATTAGGCAACTTATTTCTCTATTAATATACTCTCAGGGCTACCAGTCTGGTTAAGTCTGTTTATTACTATTGGTTAAAGTTAGATCAAACAGTTCGTTCTTGACCGTTTGCTACTTTATCTCGTGGTATACTTGTTGAGGTTCACACTTTACAAACTTCTGCTACCATCTGGATCGTTTAGAGTCTAGATTTATGGCTCTATGGCTCATTCAATGGAATTAAAACGGTTGTTATCCAATTCCAAAAAGAAAGAAAATCAATCTAT